AACATATTCTTCTTAGCAAAGTATCTCAAGAATGGAAGAAAAAGTATCCAATGTACTCAGCCCTACTATGAAACCAATTTATAGCTTTCATATGAAAGCTGTAACTCAACTATAGCCCAAGAATATAGGGAAAGGGGAGAGGGAGGGAGGAGGATGGGTGAAGGGAGGGTAACTGGACCACACCTACAGTATATCTTACAAGGGTATATGTCAAATTTACTAAATGTAGAATATAAATGTCTTAACACAATAACAAAGAAAATGCCGTGAAGGCTATGTTAACCAGTTCGATTAAAATATTTCAAATTGTATATAAAACCAGCACATTGTACCCCATTACTGCATTAATGTACACAGCTATGATTTAATAAAAAAAATATATAAGGATATCAAGAGAAGCTGAGGAATCTGTCCAAGTTATCAAGTCAGCTAGCTGAACTGGCTCCTATTCATGGCGCTATGTCTGCAATACATTATGGCCTAGAAGAAAAGGCCTAGGCATACACAATAACCCCTGAGGGTACCTCGGGATTCTTGTCAGAGAATCATCCCTCCCCTGATGACCCAAGATTTCCACCTGTTGGAATGTAGCCTGTCCCCTGGCATGTGAGACAGGTGATGCTATCTCTGCCGGTGAACTCCACATACGGGAACTGAGCGATGGCTTCTTCCTGCTCTCGTTCAGCCAGCAAATCTCCCCTGTCATCTTCTTTCTTTCGCTTGCAAGAGGAGGAGTGAGCAGAGGTGGAATACTGAGATCCCATGGCTGTGTTGTACCACTTGTGTCATGACCTAAGATGAAAAGAGGGCAAGTTAGCGTCCACACTGGGCCACGAGAGATTAAATCGATTCTTCCTATGCGAAAAGTAAAACCACCAAAACGACCAGTTACCACCCTGAGTATGATCCCAACACCCAGACGACATCTATTAGGACTCTCAGAAGTGCTCCCCCCCACTCACCCCCATACACAGCCCGGGAAACGAGGCCTGCCTTCCGCCACCTGCCCAGGTCCTCACTGTCCTTGGATCGGGGCACCTCAGCTCCCACACGGTTCAGCCTTGTCCCTTCCTCTTCACTATTTGTAGCCTATGCCCTCCGCAAGCAAACCTTCTCAAACAGCAGGCACCAAACTAATAACGGGCATTAACAAGTCCCATCCCCCTCCACTACCAGCTCCGGGAGATCGGCTCAGCTCACGCCCCTTGACAAAAAGCGGTGTTCTGAGCCCATCGAAGTCGCCCACGCGGAAGCGAACGCCAGCGTCCCAGACCTGCAGGGCACCGACTCCCGGCAGCTCCTCTCCGGGCCACTCCCCCCGCCAGCTGTCCTCAGCCGCAGGTTCTCTACCTCTTCGATCTTCTGAGCTGCGCGCACTCTGCGCAGGCGCCGAACGACAGACGGCTCCGGGGACGCCGGCGTGCGCTCGCGCGTGCGCTCTGCACGGCTCAGGGGGCCTTCCTCCCTCCGCGCGGCTGTCGCGCTCCCCTGGCGCCAGCAGAGGGCGGCGGAGAGCGGCGGAGAGCTGCGCTCCGCGGGGCTGGCCTGGGGTTGGTCCTCAGAGACAAGGAGCGCAAAGCTCTGCTGTTCCCTAGAGACGCAGGGAAAGGCGCACCTCAGGAGCGGAACCTCGCGCTGCTGCAGGAGAACGAATGCGCTGCCGGGTACCAAAGCCATTCTCAACTATTCTTAGAGAACTGAGGGGCAAAGCTGCCAAACACCCACTACCTGTCTTCAGGCCGTGAAGGGAACCAGACGCTTCAACAGGCCGTACCAGCGCCGAAGACAAAGTGCTGCGGGAGGGCTCGCAAGCAGAGGGCCCCCAGCCCAGCCTGGGGGAAAGCTTCCGGGGCAGGGGGCGGGGGAGTCCTGCGGCTTCTCCACTTCGAACCCGGGAGCTGAGCTTTGCAAGCCACGTAGGTGCCAAGAGGCACCAGGGAGTAGGGTCATCCTTCTGCGGAGCCTCCTTTCCCCAGACCTCCACGAAAAAGATCCACGTACTGCCGGGTTGAGCTTAGCCCGGAGCAGAAGAGACTGAGAGCAGATATTAAGCGGTGGAGTACTGAAGGTGATGCTTTTAGGAGGGAGGAGATATTCCGAAACTGGCTGACGGGAGCCTGCTTGGCAATGGAGAGGGAGGCCTGCGACCCTTAGGGGTTTTTTGTTTTTTACTGAGACAGAGTCTCACTCTGTTGCCCTGGGTAGAGTGCTGGGTATCTTCGTAGCTCACAGCAACCTCAAACTCTTGGGCTTAAGAGATCCTCTTGCCTCAGACTCCCGACTAGCTGGGACTATAGGCATTCCACACAAACCCTGGCTAGTTATTCTATTTTTAGTAGAGATGGGGTCTCGCTCTTGCTCAAGCTGGTCTTGAACTCCTGAGCTCAAGGGATCTACCCGCCTCGGATGCTAGGATTACAAGCCTGAGCCACCACCCCCCACCCACCCTTGAGGTTTCTGCCACCTCCATATTCTTCTTGTTCTCCTGTGGGGAAGGCGGATGCACCTGTTGTCGTGTAACCAGCTGCCCAGCCGCTGGCCACAATCAGCCCGCTGAGCATTTAGTGAGAAGCCACAATGAGCCATCGCTTCCCCTCTCCTTCCTCTGGCCCACATCTTCCTGAGCTGTTTTATTTCTCATCTGTTGTGGTCCAAAAAATGATTCCCCAAAATACGGTGCTTGGGCATGCTGAGTGCTTTTGAAAATTAAAAGGCCTCAGAAGAAAGCCTCAGAACGTTTTGATCAGAACCAAGTGCAAGGAGGGACACTCCAGGGAACCACATTTGGATGGACTTTTACACAAGATGAGACCTGCCTCTTAGACTGATTCAAATTCCAAAGAAATCATTTACGAGTTAATTTCTGCCTCCCTGGTCCATTTACTCACCCTAATAATTTAAGGCCACTCAAAAGAATTGTCTGCATTCTCTGTCTTCTCCTTCCCCTGTGGAAAACCTATACAGGCTTGGGTACCCCTGCAGAAGGGTGGGCGTAATCACTCTGTGATCCCCCCCCCACATTGATTAAATTTATATGCTTTTTCCCCCTACTAATCTGCCTTTTGTCAGTTGATTCTTAGCAAACCTTCAAAGACAGAGAAAACTTCCTTACAGCACTGTGAGCAGGTTACCAAAGCTGCTCTACTCTAATGGAAGCTGCAGTTAAGGGAACCCAGGACCTGAAAATCTGGCAGAAGAGTAAGAAATTCCTATTAGTTAGGCTCTGTCTTGCTTTCTGTGGAATCCAGTTCAGGGGGTGTTACAAATCATTTTTTCCTTTCTAAAATCTTGATTAATAGGAGAAAAGTGTTTGAGTGCCTCATCTTAGATGTGGTGACACTGACGTACTTTTCGAATGAATATTCATATAGTCTGATCCTTTCTCCTCTCCCAAATATCCTTTCTTTGTCCTCATGAGTTGTTATGTCATAAAGAAGTTGTACCCTAAGGTACAACATGGGCCTAAAACCCCTGTAACTCCCTGTTGTTCAAGCCATCCCTGAAGACTGGCCAGTTTTGCATTTCTGACCAGACCACAGTATCTTTTTAGACAAACTTTGCTGTGGGTCTCCCAGATAAAAAGCAAATGAACTCTCCTTTCATCTTGTTTTATGTGAGTGCTTGACCTGTAACCAAGTGGGAGTACCTTCAAAAGGCAAAGAGGAAGTTTTCCCTTCACCCCTGTCTTTGCAAGTTCTATACCAGTTTATATTTCCTTTTTTAAACAAATCTGGTGTTAGTGGCAGCAAATACTCAACCTAAAATATACTTCTCAGCCTATCTTCAAAAAAGAGGTGGCCATGTGATACAGTTATAGCCAATGAGGTATAAGGAATTATGTGGAACTTCCAGGAAAGCTCTTTAAGAGGGATGGTAAGCCAGGCACAATGGCTTAGGCTATAATCCCAGCACTTTGGGAGGCTAAGAAAGGAGAATTGTTTGAGACCAGCCTGGGCAACACAGTGAGATCCAATCTCTACCAAAAAATAAAAAAAAAAATTAGCCAAGCATAGTGTCATGTGCCTGTAGTCCCAGCCACTTGGGAGGCTGAGAGCAGTGGATTGCTTGATCCCATGAGTTCCAGGTTGCAGTGAGCTGTGATACACCATTGTACTCTAGTCTAGGCAACAGAGACCCTATCTCAAAAAAAAAAAAAAAAAAGAAGATAGATCCCTTGGAGTCCTTTGGACTTGATGTAGGAGTTGGGGCAGTCTTTTTGTCATGATGAGTTAATAGATACATGCTGAGGAAGGCTGGGTAGAAAGATAAAGAGCCTGGGTCCCTGATGGCATTTAGAGCCTGGAGTACCTGTTCTCTGAGTTCTCATTACATGAGAAAAATAACCCTCAAAATTGTGTAATTTTTCACGGTGGGATGCAGTCCTAACAAATGCAGACAGAGCTAGTAAGGATGAAAGGCTGGATCCTAACAAGCAGACTGACTGCTTTGAAACATACCATATAAGTACACTTAGGTTTCTGTCCATCCAACTGTAGCCCTCAGGGCACATGCCCTTTGAGAGAGGGAGGCTCCTTGCTTGTCTGAAGCCTGTCTTCTAAGTCAGACTTTCTTGCTTCTGACAGGTAACTCACCTGGAGAGTGACTTCTACTGAGAGCCCATCCTCTAGTGACATGGATGTTGCCTAACTCATGGCCTCTACTGGACACCCTGCCAGGGACAGGATGCAATAAGCCTAATGTCTACACTACAGAAAGATGTTACAGTGAGTCATCTGCATTGCTCCAGAAGCAGGGGAAATGAGGAGGCAGTAACCTGATCCATCCCAGGTTAAGAGGAGGAGGAGCCCAGAAGAAAGAGAACTGTGGACACTTTGAAAAGGGAGAGAAACGGATTAGGGGCTTGGAGCCTGGTGCAGGAGGAGGCAGGACTTGAAGTGGATAGGGGACTGGAAAAAGTCTGGAGGCTTCACCAGGAGAACCCTTGAGGATGTCTGATGATTTGCTTTTGAAAGTATGACTGGGACAGATAGACTTCTGTCCAGGATTTGTTTTATTCCTCCTTGGCTCCCCAATAGTCAACTCAATGCCTGGTGCACAGTAGGCCATCAGTAAATGCTTGTAGAACGACCCAGCTGGAGGCTGGCCAGCACTTCTTTGGGGTACAGTCCAGGCAGCTGCAGGAACCATCTGGGAGGTGGTTTTAATTGGACAGCACATTCCTGAGGAGACAGCCATCACCTCTCACCCAGGCCTGGCTTCCAGGTTTGTCTCACCATCCCGGTTATGAGCAGTGAGGCTGCTGCAGACATGAGCTCACTGGGGCTTTCAGCGTGGGGAGGCCAGAAAAGGTTGTTGCTTCTGAAAGGTCTGCAGGGATGGGGAGGTCAGGGGCTCTGCATCCCTCCACTCACTCATATATGGGGACAGGATGATGCAGTGGACATTTAGGACAATGCAAAGCCTCCCTTTGCACTGACAGGGAAACTGAGGATTGGGGGTTGGATGTGCTCTTCACAGTCTTCATTCTGCCCCCTTTATTTATTTCACAGTTGAGAAAGCTTGCTCAAGATTCAGTGATACCAGGTAAGAGGAAGAATCAGGACCAGAACTAAGTCTGCTGTGTCCTTGGTCAGTGTACTTTCCAAAGAGACCTGGGGACTTGCTAAAATTTGGAGAGTGGAGGCACAGTAGCTCATGCCTGTAATCCTAGCATGCTGGAAGGCTAAGATGGGAAGATTGCTTGAGCTCAGGAGTTTGAGACCAGCATGAGCAAGAGTGAGACCCCCATCTCTACTAAAAAGAAAAAGATAGAAAAATTATGTGGGCAGTGTGGCGGGCACCTATAGTCCCAGCTACTCAGGAGGTTGATACAAGAGGCTTGCTTGAGCTGATAAGTGTGAGGTTACTATGAGCTATGATGCCACGGCACTACCCAGGGCAACAGAATGAGACTGTCTCAAAAAACACACACAAACAAACAAAGAAAACACAACTTGGAGAGTTAGAGGCAGAGCCAGGTTGTGGCCCCACTGCTACAGCCACTGTACGTAAGTGGATTTAAACATAATACTTTTTTGTTTAATGGATTCTTTATTTTTATGTGAATCGAAGATCTCAGGGCCCAAAGCCCTGGCCCATATGTTTCTAAAGAGAGGGAAACAGTTCCATTCGCCGAAGTTCCAATTCGGTTCTCTAAAGAGAGAAGGAGAGTCCTTGCTTTTAAGAACTCCTTACAGTGTAGAGCATTTTACCATTTACATGGCATTTCCTTTTATGTTAAGAAGCTGTAATTCCCATTCTACTGGGGGAGAAACTGAGACACAGGGAGGCTGATTTGCCCCAGCTCTGGTGGTAGGTCCCGCCTATATCACTGGGGTTTCTGCTCCCAAGCCCTGGCTCT